TGCATTTTTATCATGACTTTATTTTAGAAAATTATAAAATTATAGCCTCCTGCATTAGCAGGACTAAAATTAAGGATCCCTTAATCAGGTATAATATTCAGGAAGCACAATGTTAAGGAATGAGACAGAGTAGAGACTTGGAACAGAAATCAAATAGCTGTTAAATACTGTGAGTCTCTGAATTTAGGGGGAAATATATGTATTAGGGGCCCAGTGCACAAATTCGTGCACCTTGAAAGGAACTGTGGACTGTGAGGCTGCGGTGGGCACAGTGGCAGGGTCTCAGCCCACCCTCCGTGCCCCCGCCTGGCTCCTCCTGCTACGGCCCCCGGTCACCTTTCTGCTGGCAGCCCCATTCCCACTGCCACTGCTCCCATGTGCTGATGGCACAGAGCGATTGGGGCTGGCGCTGTCAGTGGGTGCAAGAGGCAGCTGCTGCCCCAATCACCCCTCAGGAGCATGGGGAGGTGGAGAAGCCCTCAGGGGGTGATTGGGCCGGCAGCTGCTGCTCGCACCAACAGGCCCAGCGCGGGCAGCAGGTGTGAGCAGTGGCTTTGATGCCGGCAGCAGGTGTGAGCACCCATGGGGCTGCAGTGCGCCGGAGCAAAGAATTTTCAGTAACCACCAGAGGCTTGCCCCGATGACAGTGACCAGTGCCCCCCCTTGGTCTGGCGCCCCTGCTCACCTACTCCACCATCCTGCTGTGGCCAATATCCACCATGTTCTGCGTTCTGTCTCCTGCTGCCCTCGCCTGCCATGTTTTGTGCGTATGCGCCCCCTGCTGGTGAGCACATGTCATAGCAACTGGTTGTTCAATTGTTCCACTGTTTGGTCTACTTGCATATTAGGGTTTTATATATATAGATGTGTGTTTTCTTTGGTTGTCAAATGATCTTTAATTGAAACATTTTTTTGAACACATAAATATTTTAATTTTCACCATCAATCTTTAATGGAATAATGTCACTAAATATACCTCATTAGTGAAACATTTTCCTTTGTGGTTCTTAACTAGCCCAGCATCCCACTGCACCACTGCTAATGTTATCTATATGATGTCATGAGGGTGGCAGCCATCAACATTGCAACCCCCAGGATCTTTTTAATGGTTTCAGAGAGTTTTCTAGCTAAAAATCGGTGCTGCATCTGTCAGGCAATATTAATAATCTCATCAAAAGTGATTATTTCCACTGTGTTTAATGAATTTTTGTTTCTGTCTCGGCAATACTTTGAGGGCTTTCATGATCAGGGCAGAGGCAGAGGCACTACCTCAATCTGGGTCTGTCGTTCTGAATGTTCAGAGTTACTGTAATCCCCAGATCCTTCCAAGCACCAGTTGCTTTGTTGATGTCAAAGCCAACCTTTTTTGGAGACAGGCCCAGGGGACCAATCTTGGGGGTCAGGGCAGACACAGCACAGACTTCCCCACCGGTGCACCACGGGTATAGGACTTTGATCTCTTTGGGGCAGAACTTTGGCTGCATCATGGAAGTAGCTGGTGTCAGAAGAACCCGGATTTGGTACGACCGAAGAAAGTTGCACCTAAGTTTCCAAGCTGAAAGCTGAAAGAAAAAAAAAATGTTGAGGGCCTGTCAGTTTACATCTGTTATATCCTCTAATCTGATAACCCTAAGTTTTTTATATTTTTTATAGAAGTGAACTAAAGTAAAGCTTGAAGACATAAAAACCATAACTGCCTGGCATATGGTGATGAGGATAGTGACTTCGGCATAGAAAACATGTGAGAGATATTTCAATGAATGATGACATCAGAAATGACTCAGAGCGATGTTTCAAAGCAGGCACTTATATAACAAATATGTGCTAGGTGACAAAGGCTTGTATAGCATGCAGTGACTATTAGCATCTAATATGAGCCAGAAACCTTCCTAGATGATGCTGGCAATACAGCAGGTATAGCCTACTCTCAGGAAATGGGTATTTTTTTTTTAGTACTTCTTTCCTTAAGTATTTACTTTTAGTTCTGATTAGTCCTGGGCACAACACAACTCATTTAGTCCTAACAGCAATCCTTTGAGGATTATTACTTGCTTTACAGAAGGGTTAACTCAAGCACAATGGGGTTAGCTACTTTTCCAAGATCACATGGCTAATGAGTAGAATTAGTGAAGGTAGAGAACGTAATAGTGACGGGAGATGTTCCTTAGTCATTATCGAGGGGGTAATGAGTGAGCTCTATGACGAGGTACACTGAAGGTCTGAAGGGAAGAGAAGGCAGTCCTGAGACCTGGAGGAAGAATGTTCCAAAAATAAGAAAGGACATATGGAGAGCCCCTTTGTTTAGAAAGTTTGTTGTATTCAAGGGCAGTAAGGCCAGTGTGGCCATAACAGTAAGCAGATGATATCAAGAGGTAGATAAGAGCTAATTTGAGGGTGGCCTTGTAGTTTGTATTTTACTCTTGTATTTACTCTTGGATTTTACGGGGATTGTTGGGATCTGAACAGGGAAGTGATGTGATCTGAGTTAGTGAGAGGCCTGTCAAAATGTCAGCTAATGGCGATGGTGGCTTGGATTAGAGCTGTAGAAGAGATGATGATAAATGGTTAGCTAATAAGATTTATTTTGTAGATAGAACCTATAAGACTTTTATGGACTGGATCTTGAATGTGAGGAAAAGATAATATTCAAGGGATTCCTGGGAATTTAAAGTAGGAGTGGATTGTGGCAAGAAAAACAACAGTTTTCTTTTAGCCATTTAACACATTGCGAATGGATCACGAGAATTGTCGCTTCATATTACACAGTGTTTTACAAAGTATCATATTTTAAAAAGATATTCAGCTTGTAGAACATGTAATAAATAACTTCAAAATGCAATGGGTATTTAATTTTAAAGCGTGCCTTTAACATTTATGTAAAATGTTTTTTGTACTCGTTCAATAGAAACTTATCTGGCCACTGGATAAAGCTAGTAATAAAACTACTGGTCCGCAATGTGTTAAGTTTCATATGCCAATTATAGATCCAAGAATGAATGTCATATGGTATGATTTTGGAATTCTGAAGACAGCTCAGTGCTATGAGTTATCCATATAGGTCTTTGCTGCAGCTATGGGATTAGATGAGATTTCCTAAGAAGAGAGTGTAAGAGAAGAAGCTCAGGACTGAGCCCCCAGATACTCCCAATATTTAGGGTTCTAGTACAGGGGAAGCATGCAAAGAAAATCGAAGAAGACAAAATAGGACAACATTGATGTCATGGAAAGCTAAGTTTCAAGAGTTTATCTCAAAAGGAAATAAGCAGTTGAGTAATGCTGTTGAGCGGTCATATGAGGTAGTGGATTAATTAGGGTGTCTAATTGCTATAATAAATAGAACCCAAGATGTCTAATGGCTCAGACACAATAGTTTTTTTTTCTTTTTACCCCTAATATAAAAAAATAGAAAAGTGATAATGAAGAGGCCAGTGGTCTGGCCCTCCTCCCCCAGACTATAGTCATCTCCACTGTAGCTAGCTGAAAGGGAAAAGGAACATAGAGAATGTTGAATGGAGATTTTTATGGACCAGGACTGGAAATGGTGCCCATGTGACTTGAATTCAGTCCCCTGGTCACTCCTAACTGCAATGGAGATCGCACAAAAGAAACAAGCCACACAGGAAGAAGGAACTAGCTTATTGTAACTAGCAATCTCTGCTACAGATGGCTTTGGCAGGATGTAGGTCATACTGACTTGGGAAAAACTATTTCAGCGGAGTGATAAGGATGAAAGCCCAAGAGAACTGGAGGTAAGAAATGAACACACCTTTTTTTTCTGTAGTTTTGCTATGAAGATGAACAGAGGAATCTGATAGAGGCTAGAAAGAGATGGAATGTTAAGGTTTTTCAAAAGAGGCATGTTACTAGTGCAAACAGAATGTATACTATTGTTAACATGTAAGAAATGAATTCCAAGGTTTACACTTATAGTATAAATCAGCCATCACCAACCAGTGGTCCGTGAGGTCCGAAAGGTTGGCAACCGCTGCTATAGATGTGTTGGTGTATGTTGAATTTGGCAAAATAAGTGGTATATTGTATTTTAGGTTTCCAAATTCCAATTGTCTTAATTACTTTAAAATGTAGTAATGATGTCATTGCATCAACTACTAGGTTGAGAACAGAATTCTATTTCTATGGCAAGTGTCCATCAAAGAACCAGAACTTCAAAGTGAATCAGTCCATTTTCTTAGCAGAATGGTAGAATGTATTCATAGCTGCATGCTTCATATACTATACTGAAAACAATCTTACTTTTTGCAGTCTGAAGATTTTATGCCCTTTCCATTCACTTGGTGACTCGAAGGGATGCCAAAAACCCCCATGACTAATCAGTATCTCATGGGACCTAAGTGAGAGGTGTTTTTTCCTGTGTTTGTTTTTGCACAAAACACCCAAGCCCGTTATTGGTGATGTCAAAATATGTAGAAAATGACTGCTGCCAAAAGTCACTTAACAGAGATGGTTGCTAATGTAAAAGAATTGGACTAAGCCAAAATACATACATTTATTTTAAAAGGCAGACTTCTGGGAAGGCTGAAAATTTCTTATCCTCCTGTAGTCTATTTTTTTAAATTGAGATATAGTTCACACACATAAAATTCACCCCTTTAAAGTGTAAAATTCAGTGACTTTCAGTATATTTACTTTAAAAAGTTGTGTAACACTAATTCCGGAACATTTCATCACCCTAAAAAGAAACTCCTTACCCATTAGTAGTCACTCCTCATTCCCATCTCCCTCTCAGTCCCTGGTAACCAGTAATCTACTTTCTGTTTCTTTATATGGAATGTGTGCAGCACAGGATTTGCCTGTGCTGCACACATTCCATAAAAATGTAATGGTATAATATGTGGCTTTCTATGTCTGGCTTCTTTCACTTAGCTTAATGTTTAAGACTCATCCATGTAGCATGTATCAGTACTTCATTCCTTTTTATGGCTAAATAGTATTCCATTGTATGGATAAAACAATTTATCCATTCATCAGTTGATGGACATTTGAGTTTCACTTTTTTTGTCTATTATGAATATTAATGCTGCTATGAACATTCATGTACAAGTTTTTATATGAACAAGTTTTCATTTTTCTTCAGTATATATATCTAGGAGTGGAATTAATGGGCCATATGATCCTTAGTCTCTTCTAACCTTTAATTCTTTAACACATCTCTCAAGCTCTCCTCTCTAGTTGCTAACCTCGTGCACTCCCATACTGTTTTCTTTAGATTTTTATAACATTTTCACTTATCTAAGGTTTTCCCCCTCTCCCCCCCAGCTACAACTTTATCAAGCAAACACACAAAAATGATAATTGGGAAACTACAGCAGGGGGGGAGTGGGAGAGAATCATGTTGTTATTTGCTTGTTTAGTCATTTAGAGCTTTCATGCCAAACCCTGGCAGCCACCCACCAGGAGGATTTGACACAGCTTTTGGTGGGCAAGGTTAATAATAACCTCAATCGCTGAGAACTCTGCTGCCATTCTAAGGTAGGAGTTTCTTATACTTTAAAAACCTGGTAAGAAAACCTGACCAGCAGCTTCATAGAGATTATATGTCTTAACCACAGAATTACATATTTTTACATTTCTACTGTTTTTCAAAATCCGAAAGGGAGGTTCCAATATTGCTCCTGATGTTAGTTCCAACTTTTATTGAGTAATCCTCAGAGATACAGCACTGAATCCCAGATGATGAAGATAGTGCCATTTCTAAGATCTTAAATTGACAAGTTTTCTTTGACAATAGCTTTCTCTCCTATTAAACTTATCCTTCATGCCTATGATGACTGACTTCCACTTCCTCAAAGCCTCTATATTTTCAGTTTATTAACCAATTTCCTATCTAGCTGAAACCTATGGGCAAGCCATTTCAGTGGTGCTTTTCTCCATCATCCTCGATTTCTTCTTTGTTTAATCTGTGCTGCAAATTCTCTAAGAGGAAATTTACCATCTACTTTCTCCATTCTTGTCCTTGGGAATGCCAAGTCCCTTGAAACAGAGTCAGTAGGTTTCAAGTGGGCACATATTACTATTTTGAATTCCTTTCATATCAAAATGAGTTTTCTCATAACTACCTATTTCAAGGAATTTCTGCTCTCAAGTCCTTAAGACTTAATCTCACGATTATCTGTTTTGCAAAACTGAAGTTCTTTACCTGAGAAGATTTAGGCCAGCTAATGTGTCCGTCCAATACTTTTCTCAGTTTTTCTTTAAACTCCTTTTTTTCTAAACCTCTTCAAGGCTAAGCCCTTTTCATACTTAATTACTTTCTCTTCACTACCTGGCCTTAGTTTTTTTTTTTAATCAATTATTCCTTTTCTTCACTCTTTAACGCCTCTCTCTCCATTCGTCTTCACTACAAAGATTTCCCTGTGTTTTTTAAATTAATCTTGCATCTATATAATGCTATCTCCTCTTTCGCAAACATGTAAATGACTTTACCTAGGATGTGTAATTCTTGAATGCCCTGTCTCCTTTACAGTTGGCTTTAAACTCAATTCTGTTTTAAATTGTTTTCTCAAGTGTTACCTATTCACCAAATCCAATATTTTTTTAAAAGTATATTTTATTGATTTTTTTACAGAGAGGAAGGGAGAGGGATAGAGAATTAGAAACATCGACAGAGAAATATCAACCAGCTGCCTCCTGCACACCCCCTACTGGGGATGTGCTGGCAACCAAGGTACATGCCCCCGACTGGAATCAAGCCTGGGACCCTTGAGTCCGCAGGCCGACACTCTATCCAGTGAGCCAAACCAGTTAGGGCCAAATCAATATTTTTAGTTTACCCTTTTGATTGCCTGTGGGATTTAAGCTTCAGGGTCTCTTGCTTAGAGGAGCCTTTAAAATGTTTGTTGTTGAATATTTTTGTAAAGTTGCAAAAGCAAAATATTTTTGCCTTCTTGTCAAGCTTCAGGCCTCCCAAACCTGGATTTGCCATTTTATAAAAGGTGATCTGCCCCTCATATAAAAGAAGTTCATCAGATTCTGTTATAGCCTGAGGTAACAACATTGGGCATGGCTCCCTTCAACTTGGTCACAGCAAAGGAAGGAACTAATTGCTATATTAAAATTTATATCCTGGATTGACCAAATACTTATATTATTTTCATACCTAGGTCCCAGGTCTTGTCCTTAATATTACAGGTTCAGGAACTAGTTTTTAAGCCTTTTGACCAAGGTGATCAAGCACTGAAAAATTAATTCATGCTAACCAAACTCTCAAAGGATTATTTATAAACCGGAATGTTTATTTCTTAGCATACAAAAAGGAATTAATATTGTAATATTGACTGGGTATAAATATCTGCTATCCAGAACACACTTAACTGAATCAAGATAGAGATCAAATATGATTATAAAACGTTTCGTTTTCATGACTTAACGTGAAAATAACTGAGTGCTGAAGGCGTCCTTACTGCAGAGGTATGGCCTACAGTGCACCCTAAACCCTGTTTCTTGTGTGACTTAAGCGTGTGCAAGATTCTGATCTACCAGTGTTGCCTGGTTATGTATGAATTGAGTTGGTCTGTGCCTTAAAGATCCCACCCCCCAAATGCACCCAATTTGGCTGCCATACGCCAATACTGCGTTCCCCAACCTTCCTCACTTTTGTCCTTTTATTTCATTCGTGTATCTCCATTCCCCTCACTTCCAGTGCCCAGGCTACCCTCAAGGTCCCTCCTAACGTAAGTTCTGTCGTCACCTACCTACTTTTACCTTGCCTCACCTATTAGTCATCACCTCCGACCAACACCCTCATCCCCCATCTGGCCCAGACTGGCTCCACCTCTCACACCGAACCTTCCCGGGTGAGGGCGCCGTGGGCCGCTCCCCGTCCAGCGAGGAAGCTGCGGGGGGAACACTTTCTCCAGCTCTTTGCATGACCTCCCTCTCCCATTTTCTCCCAGTCCTACAAACCACCACCACATTTACCCTCCCCATGAACACCGGGATCGTCTCCTGCCCGCGTCTGCGGGGAGAGGTCTCCAGCGAAGGCAGAAAGGTGTCCCCTTACTTAATGTAGGTGTGTCCAGATGCTGGCACCCGCGCCGTCAGGGAGCGGAACCCGGGCGGAGCCCCAGGTGAAGGGGAAGGGTGGTTGGCGCTAAGCCAATCACGGCTCATGACAACAGGGATCAGCCAATCAGAACACGGGGTGCTTGGCGCAGGGTAAGGGCCCGCCCCCTTGCAGCTGGGTGGCCAACGCCTTCGCCAGGGCTGGCTGGAGCTGAGCTGGTTTCCGAGTCCAGGGACTGGGCACCTTCCGAGCTGGGAGACCGCGCCCTCCCACCCCAGCTGATTTCTCTGCCGGCCTCGGCCTTAGCAGGTGTCGGTCCGGCCGTGGACGCATTCTGACCTGAGCCGTATCTCTCCCTGGAGACTTTGTGCCTATGGTTGGGGACAGAGTGAGGTCGTTGCCTTGACGACGGCAGCATGCAGGCAGTGGTCCTCCTGAGCGTGAGCTTGGGGCGGGCCGAGGCCAATCTGCCTCTCTCTGCTTCACCTGGCGCCCGTGACTGTGTCCTCACAAGGAATCGTAACCGCACTGAAACTGCTAGTTTGCTAGTCAGCATTTTTTAGACCCGCGGGAGAGATGAATTTCACCTCAAATTTGTTTCCGAGTTGAAAACCTTTGGGTCTTTCCACGTGAAAGGATATTAAAGAAGCAGTAAGTATAATACTTTTAAAGGCTTCTATGATCTCACTCTTCATGTACAATAGATTTCAATCTCTTGAAGAAGATAAATTAGCATTATTTTTATCTAACTTGTCCGTATTAGAACTATGCTCTTACATGGCACATGTCCAGAAATACCACATTGCCAGCCGGGCGGGCTTCGTTTGTATTACCCTTACGTTTGGGGGTAGAAGGCATGAAAAGTTATCGTTTATGAGTAACTGTTTCAGGAAACAAGAGGCTTAATAAGCTGTGAGACCTTTAAGGTATTTGCAGGCAGTGCCACTTGAGAAATGGGTGTGTTCTATGTGCTGTGACCAAACGTGCAGTTGGCTGCAAGAATAAACTCGGAGTAGTCAACTTACACAATGTTAGCTTACTAGATGACATATTTTTAAGTGATGCAAGGTATAGATTCCATCTATTTTTGTCCTTGACATGATAAACCTACAGTCTAGTCCTTGATAAAAACATGCTGTCTTAGTGGAAGGAAAAATTATTTAAAAACGAGAGAGAAAATAACGTTGAGATTTTTTTTCAAACACAGACTTTTTTATTTGAAAGTAGTTGATAGACATTAAATGGAAGCTAAAAATGTCAAATGTATGGAAAGTTAGTGTTGGGACACTGCTGTGTAAACAGTTTATAGTATTATCAAAGCTGGTTGTAAAATAATGAAATAATTTGAGTTGCAGTTGACTTGGATTTATTTTCATTCACCCTTCATCCCCAGGTCAATCTTCTGGTGTTCCATGTATATCTATATAATAGAAACTATATAAATTACCATATGTAAAATGCTAAAGATGTACTCATTGGATTATCATAGTTTGTTAGAACAGAGGATATTTGTAGTGTCTTTATTATCAATGTACCAATAAGGAAGCAAGGAAAAGCACCACAACTCACAATCGAGTAAATTAGCTTTAGATTGCCATAAATACACAATGTAATAGGTGATAATATTTCCCCCTAACTTTTATCGAGTATTTTTATATTGTCAGGTTAAAAAATTTAACCATGAGTTATCATTTGAATATAAACTTACTTAAAGGTATTTTTTCCTCCTTAAACTTTTAGAAGCATAATGGGATTAAGATGATTTTTTGTTGTTGTTCTAGAATTTAATTTCAACACCAGATTTAAAAATAAAGTTGGAAATCTGCAATAAAACTTATGAATTAAAATCTATCTGTATTTGAACTGAAAAGTTTTTGTTTGTTTTTTCTGTACCAAAATATGTAGTGGACTGATTGCTGGACCTTCATCAATCATTAGTAAAGTAAGAAAGATTTTATTAGGGTTGCCTTTATCCAGAAAATGACATGTAATTGGGAGTAGAAAAGAATTATAAACACAGCCTGGCTGGTGTGGCTCAGTGATTGAGCATTGACCAATGAACTAGGAGGTCACAGTTTGATTCCCGGTCAGGACAAATGCCTGGGTTGCAGGCTCCATCCCCAGTGGGGGGTGTACAGGAGGCAGCCAATCAATGATTCTCTTTCATCATTGATGTTTCTCTCTCTCTCTCTCCCTCGCCCTCTCTAAAATCAATAAAAAATATATTTAAAAAGAAAAGAATTACAAGCACAAAATTAAAATGATTATTCTCATAGTGAATAATCATTAAAAGGATTTTTGAAATACTCTATTTGGTGCTACTAATATTTAATTTCTAAAATCTGCCTATATACTGTGATGTTATTGCTGTTATTTTGTATGTTCAATATAGGAATTTAATTACTATAGTAAGAAAAATAAAGAAAAATAGTTTAACAAAGATTCTTAGTATTCATTTGGTAAGTGACCATTTTGTGACCAAATATTCTTCCTCAATGAGTTGAGAGTGTATAAAAATTTTCACCTTTTAATCCTGATGTAAAAAATAAACATGATCTTCACTAAAACTAAACTCACTTGCGATTTTTTCACCTTTGTGTGAAAAGGAATCATGTTTTTCTAAAGTGAGCTGTAATTGTTTTGTATGGTGGTTCTAGTGTTACTTTATCTGAATTAAAAATATGTTGAATTTCATCAACATGACATTTAGTAACTTAAATTTAAAGTTAATGGCTTCAGTTATATTTGTGTTGTCTATTATGAAATGAATATGAATATTTTGAAAACATAACAAAATTGGAAACAATAAGAAATTGTGAGTCAGCAAGGGAGAACCATCAACACAGTGACTGCTCTAACATGGCAAAAAAGTTGGGAAGAATTACTTTGCTGGGAGGGTGGAGAAAATTAATATACTCAACATTATTAACTATATTTTGGTTTTTACAGCAAGAAAAAAAATACTTCTGGTTTTGAATTAAAATGGAAAAATATGAGAACCTAGGATTGGTTGGAGAAGGGAGCTATGGAATGGTGATGAAGTGTAGGAATAAAGATACTGGAAGAATTGTAGCCATTAAGAAGTTCTTAGAAAGTGATGATGACAAAATGGTTAAAAAAATTGCTATGCGAGAAATCAAGTTACTAAAGGTGAGTAAATATATGTATTTTGTTAAAAAAATAAGTTATTTCTTGATCAAGATTAGATTTTGGGGGAAATTACTGTTTTTGTATTTGTTTCATATATTACAAGGTTTAAAGTATATGTTTTTGGCAATAAACAAATAAAATGATTACATATGTATATTCATTTATATCATGCACATAAAATGATTTTAAAAGTACTTGTCGCTTCTTTCACACACACACACCTATCTGTCTACCTACCTAGCTAGATAGAGCTAGCCAGCTATCATTTGTATTGAGGGTCCCAAAGACCACCCCAATGTTCAGTGATTCACTAGAGGACTCAGCACTCTGCAATTGTATTCATGGCCATGATTTATTACACTGAAAGGATAGGTAGCAAAATCAGCAAAGGGAAACCTGTTACAGGCTTCTAAGAAACCCCTTCCAGTGGAGTCACTCAGCTGGACACTCTTATATCCTCCAGCAATTAGTTGTGATAACACATGTGAAATATTGTCTACCAAGGAAATTCATTAGATTCTCAGTGTGCAAGGTTTTTATTGGTGACTTGTCATGTAGGCATATCTGCCTGGCTTGTTCCAAAATTTCAGACTCCCAGAAGGAATGCAGGTATTCAGCATAAACAATATTGTTTGCGCAGCTTGCCATTTTTATCAATTCTGGAAATGAAGGGAACCCTCCTGAAATCCAAGTTCCCAGGTACCAGCCAGGGATTTCCAGGTACCAGCCAAGGTGCAGCATACCTATCTAAGGATAGCACTCTCAGGCCTGCTGTGTTATGTCCCTCTTTCTTTAATCATTCTCACGAGAAGTTTATTAATTTTATTTTTCTTTAGAAAGAACCAACTTTTAGCTTTGTTCATCTTCTATATTATTTATTTCTCTTCTATTTCATTTTAGTTTTTTAGTATTTCATTCCTTCTACTTATTTTGGGAGGGTTTACTTTGTAGTTCTTTTTTTCTAACCTGTTGAATGCATACTTATGTCTTTTATTTCCAGCCTCTCCCCCTGCCTCCTTTACGCATTTAAAGTTATAAATTTCCCTCTCAGAACAGTTTGGTATGTACTGCAGAAATTTTGATTAGCAGTTCAAACTATTTTCTTATTTCCCTTGATTTCCAAATATTTGGAAATTTTTTAGATTTTCCTTCCCTGGTTTTTTACTTTTGATCTAATTGCCCTGTGATATGAGTATATACTATGTAAGATGTTATTCCTTTGAAATTTCTTGATACATGCTTTTTGATTCAGAATATACTAACCAACAACAAAAAATTTCTCATGTACTTGAAAAGTATTCCATTAAATTAGCTTTTGTTACTTGCATTGATTAAATCTTCTGAATTCTCAGTAATTCTGTTTGTGTGTGTGCTTGTTCTATCCAGTACTGAGAAGAAATATGTTAAAATCTGTGATTATTGATTTGTCCTTTTTTATTTTAGTTCAGTTAAAGTTTAACTTTACAAGTAGAAAAGCCATATTATTAATATTTTATATTTAGAATTATTATATCTGCATGCTGAATCAAATCTCTTATCATCATGAAATAACTTTTTTAAAATCCTCACCTAAGGAATGAGGATATTTTTTCCATTGATTTTTTTTTTTTTTTTTTTTTTTTTTTTTAGAGAGAGTGGAAGGGAGGGAGAGAAAGGAGAGAAACATCAATGTGAGAGAGAAACATTGAAGTGAGAGAGACACATAGATTTATTGCCTCCCACATGTGCCCTGAGGGAGATAGAATCTGTAACCCAGGCACATGCCCTTGACGGGGAATAGAACCCAAGACCCTCCCATGTGCAGGCTGTGCATAGGCCAACACTCTAATCACTGAGTCACGCCGGCAAGGGCTGAAATAACTTTTTATTATAGTAATGTTTTTTCTTAAAGTCTGTTTTGGCTGAAACTAATAAGGCTACACTAGTTTAATTTAGGTTAATGTTTGCATAGTATATCTTTTTCCATTTTTGTTTTATTGTTGAGAGTATTACAGAAGTCTCCCATTTCTCCTTCCTTTACCCTCTTCTGCCTGGCTCCCCATCTCAGTACTTGTTTAGATGTGTCTCTTGTGAACATGTAGTTACATTTTTCTTTCATCCTGTTTGACAATCTTTGTATTTTAATTGGAACAATTAGTCCATCTACATGTAATACAGTTTCTGATATATTTAGGTATAAATATACCACCTTAATATATGCTATTTGTCTCACTGGTTCTGTATTTCTTTTTTCTTTCTGTCTTTGGATTGATTACATTTATCATTCCTTTATTTTCCTCAAATAATTAGAAAATTATATATTGTTTCATTTTGTGGTTATCCTAGACATTTGTTAAAGTCTAACAGTATCCAATAATTTTATCCTTCTTCCAAAGCTTGCAATAATCATCTCTAGTTATTCCCTTTTATCTTTTATGCTATTTAAACATCATAGGATGTAATTATTTTTAAATGTTTATTTAGATTTATTTTTACCACTTTCTTTGTTCTTCCTTCCTTTCTGCATTTATTATTTATCTGTGATCTCTTCCCTTCTTCTTGTTTAGGATTTCCTTTTGTGAGGAAATATTGTAGATAAAACATTTCAATTTTAGTTTGCATGAAAATGTCTTTATTTTGTTATTATTCATGAAGGATATTTTTGCTATGTATAGAATTTTAGGTTGGTGATTATTTTCTTTCAACAAAATGAAAATAACATTGTTTTGTCCTCTAGCTTCAATTATGGCTCTTGATAAGTCAGCTGTCAGTCCAATTGCTGCTCTTTTTTAAGTTTGTTCTTTTATGTCTGGATCTTTTTTTTCTTTCAACTTTTTATTGACATATACATATAGGAAAGTATACATATCATAAAAATATATCTCTATGGATTTAAATAACTGAACAACCTATGTAACCACCATCTAAATCAAGTAAGAGAACACGAAAATAACCCCAGAAGAAACCCCCGACTCCCCCCCCCCCCCCCCCCCCGCCCTTATACCTTCTCCAGTCACCATGTCTTCCTTTTCCACTCAGGTCACAACTGTCTTGATTACAATCAGCATAAGTTAGTTTTGTTTTCTGCAACCTTGTTTCCATTATATTTAAGAAGGTTTGGGTTGGTTTTTGTTGTTGTTGTTGTTGTAGTTGTTGTTTTCCCTTTTCAGGGTATGTCACCGACTTAGGAGAACTCTGCTGTGCCAGCTTTGTGGCCACAGATAATCTTTTGGTATCTTCCTACACTCCTGTTTGACCTTGATTACATTTGGCAGTTTTACCTCATTTGTGGTGGGAAGGGGTCATAGATCCTACTTAGATCCATCAGAGATAAAGTTACATTTCTTTTCCTTATTGGTTTTATTGTGTTCCCTGAGAGGACAACAGAGCAATGTGGTCTTTTAACTAGAATTTAAAAACCAGAATATACATTTACAATTTATACTGTTCATGCATTTTATTTATATGTCTTTTTTATGCTAAGATCTATTTTGGATGGTCACTAATTGCTAATCATTTGATGTTGTAAAAACTATTTCGCATTTTTTTATAACAGCAACTGAGGCATGAAAATCTGGTGAATCTGTTGGAGGTGTGCAAGAAAAAAAAACGATGGTACCTAGTCTTTGAGTTTGTTGACCATACCATTCTTGATGACTTGGAACTCTTTCCAAATGGACTAGACTACCAGCTTGTTCAAAAGTATTTGTTTCAGATTATTAATGGAATTGGATTTTGTCATAGTCACAATGTAAGTATTTAGTTTAAATAATTATTTTGCCAATTATTGACTCTCCAGGCACCAGTCATTTACCGTAATTTAATGAGATACTTGTTTAAAGTTTAGACCAGTTAAAATCATAGAAATGAACTGTTACTTTGATATTGCCAATTTTCATGTGTCATAATACATGTATTCTTTCCCCCACCATCTTATTATGAAAAGTTTAGGCCATACCATACTGAAAAATAAAAAGAGTGTGCCATGAATACCCATATAATCTACCACCTAGATTCTAGACTTGTTAATATTTGTCTATATTTTCTTTATTAATATACTTATCTATTTATTAATGTCTTATTTATGTATTTGTAAGTAAATTACAGATATCAGTACACTTCAACTCTAAATATTTTGGCTATGTATATTAACTAAAGTCTAATATTTTTTTGCTTTTGTTTGAGGTGACACTTACTGATTGAAATGCACAAATTCTAACTGATGAGTTTTGACAAATGCATTCACCCAAGGATCCATGTATATGTTAGTTCAGATTCTGTTGCCGAGTTGTGAAGTAAAAAAATCCCTGCTCTTCATGGAACAGATTGTCGAATCTCAGAGAGAAGGCGGGTTGAGTGGGTGGGTGGGAAGAGATCAACCAAAGAACTTGTATGCATATATGCATAACCCATGCAAACACATATTAGTGTGGTGAAGGCCTGGGGCAAGGGGTAAGGGTGGGCTAGAAGATGTCAATGGGGAAAAAAGGGGACATATGTAACATTTTCAACAATAAAGATTTTTTTTTTTAAAAAAGATCCCTGCTCTTAGCCTGTAGTCTATCACAGTAATTTTATATCCTTTGAGTATCAATAAGAGCACCTCTAGGTAAAATGGCACAAAGTACCAAATGAATAACTCAACACATTATTCTTCCAGTTTTACAAAATATTTTAAATGACATTTTTTGTGTGATTATAAAAGTAATAGATGCTAACGGTAGATGTGGGGTTGACCCTGTGAGCTTGCATGGATGTAATAGCAGTTGGTAGCCTCTGCAAAATGCTCAGTAATGGCATATTGCCATTTAAGATGCTGGTCCCCTGAAAGAGTATATATATATATATATATATATATATATATATATATATATATATATGGCATTTTTTCAAAATACTGTATTAGAGAATTAGGTCTAATATTTTGTTTTGCCTAGCTGTAGAATTTTTAGTATTGTCTCCCAGTGTTCATATTTTCTCCTTTACAAATCTTAACCACTGACCTTGTTGACCCTCTTTATATTTCTTTTTTTAAAACATATTTTTATTTATTTCAGAGAGAGAAAGGGAGAGGGAGAGAGAGAAACATCAATGATGAGAGAGAATCATTGATCGGCTGCCTTCTGCATGCTCCCTATTGGGGATCAAGCTCACAACCTGGGCATGTGCCCTGACTAGGAATCGAACCCTGACCTCCTGAGTTGATGCTCAGCTACTGAGCCACACTGTCCTGGTGACCCTCTTTACATTTCTAATTGCCTGAAGAATGCCTCCACTTGGGTGCTCAGCAATCCTCATAAAGGCCCCTATGGCTAAAAGTGAACTACCAATTATTCCATCAAAACTAACTTTTTCTAAGCTTTTTAATTCTTTTAGATTCCCAGGTTTAAATAAAATATCTGAGACTATTTCCTAAGCTCTATTGATGCTTGATTTAAAATATTTATAAACTATGTCTCCTCCTTTCCATTCCTCCAAGCACCAGTCTAGTTTAGGCCCTTATTGCCTCATAGTTGTCCCACTGCTCTTTTCCCTGTCCCTAGTCCCTCTCTGATTTAGCTTATTTATGGCCAACATCTTTTTTTAAAATAAAATATATTTTATTGATTTTTTTACAGAGAGGAAGGGAGAGGGATAGAGTTAGAAACATCGATGAGAGAGAAACATCGATTAGCTGCCTCCAGCACACTCCCTACTGGGGATATGCCCACAACCAAGGTACATGCCCTTGACCGGAATCAAACCTGGGACCCTTGAGTCCGCAGGCTGACACTCTATCCACTGAGCCAAACCGGTTAGGGCTATGGCCAACATCTTTAAACATCATATTGGTCATACCACTTCCATGGGTTCCCATGGCCTTGACAGAAGCTCAGACCTCAGACTGGCAGTTGAGACATCCTTCCTCCCTAGTATATAACCTGTACTATAGAAGTATCATTTCTCTAGTCTCCTGATCGATTTCTCTTCATTCTTTTGTTCTCTTTGTTACCTTCACTTGGATTGCCCTTACATTTATCCAGGTCATACTTACATTAAATTCCTACCTTAGAGCCCACCCCTTTCATAACATTTTTCCTTGATTACCCAATCTTCAATTACAGCTTTATTCTCTTAATCTTGAGAGCAGTGACTAATAGAACAATTGATTATATATATATATATATATATATATATATATATATATATATATAATCTAGTATCTTTGATTATTTATATAAAATTTTTAGCATAAATGTTATTTTTTTCCCAACTAGATTTCAGGTTCTTTAAAGCCAGGAAGAATTTCGTATGCTTTTTATTTCTATTCATTATAGGGACAAAAACAGTGCCCTGCACATGGCAGGCACTAAAAACATAATTAATTTGTTTACCTTGATGTGCCAATATATGTCATTCTCTGTTGTGTGTGTGTTGTTGTTGTTTTTTTTTTGTCTTAGATCATACACAGAGATATCAAGCCAGAGAATATATTAGTCTCCCAGTCTGGCGTTGTCAAGTTATGTGATTTTGGATTTGCGCGGACATTGGCAGCTCCTGGGGAGGTTTACACTGATTATGTGGCAACCCGATGGTACAGAGCTCCAGAACTATTGGTTGGTGATGTGAAGTATGGCAAGTAAGACGTCATGTGGTGGTGGTGTGGGGGGGCACTAATGTGTTTCTAATATAAAAAAAGTTCCTCTAACACTGGAAGGAAGTTTTGAATTTAGGGGACTTTACAAAGTGATTTGTAATTTTTGGTGCTTCCCCTTTAAGTATTCTTGTGAAACAATTTGGGGTTACTATACTAATATTTTAAAGATAGGGAAATGAAGGTGAGCAAGTAGTCTGTTTTTTTTTTTTTTTTTTTATTGTGGTTCAGAAATAGGTATACTATATTTCACTTGTAAAGAGAGGTAACACGGATTGGATAAGATTGAAACTATTGGAAGGAGGTGAGTGGACAAGGCTGAGAGTAGAAATAATTTGGTGAAATGTTTTAAAAATATAATTATTTCCATAAATGAATTCTTCAAAGAAGATGGGATTGTAACTTTTACTGTTTTTATAGAAATCTTTAAAAAATATTTTCTACAATTTCTGTTTTCAGAGTATATATCATTTAATATTTTCTTGATTATGTTAAGTTCTCCTTTTACTGTCATACTGTAACCTTTATGTAATTTTATAATATAGCTATGACCTTGAGAAATTTCAAGTTAGTTGTTCTTATGCTAATAATGCCAGAATATTCTTTAAGTTCTTACAACTGATTTTAAAGACAGTTTTTCTATTTTTTTTTCTCTATTAGCTTTCACTTCTCCTTCTTGTTACTGTATGTGTCCCTAACGACCACCTCCTTCTGGTAGTTTTCAGTGTATGGTGGGATAGACTAATTAACTTGCTAGAATTATGTGCAAACAAAGAATGAATAGGTTCTAAATGAAAACCCAGAAGGCTTATCTTCAGAATAAAGGACACATAACTATTACTTTTTAGAAGCCCTTTCCCTCTATGTCACATGATCAAAGCTTTTGGAAATCTGACTTACATAAAATTGGGAATTAGTACTTCAAGTTTATAGGTGATTTAAAGCTTGCCACTACTATTCTCAATGCCTAGAATATTTAGTAGTAATATGCAGAGCAGTAATATGCAGTCACAGTAAACATGTAAGGAGTAATATGCAGTCACAGTAAACATGTAAGGAGGCCCAATTTTACACCACACTGCTTTTCTTTCAGAGCTGTTGACATATGGGCCATTGGTTGTCTGGTAACCGAAATGCTCATGGGGGAGCCCCTTTTTCCTGGAGATTCTGATATTGATCAGCTATATCATATTATGACGTGTTTAGGTAAGATTACACATCTGCATTTTCAATTCTAGAGGCTTCCTCCTATGCTTGTTTGTTTGCATTGATTGTACAAGGTAGGAAGCAAATAGGAAATGTTCATATATAAATGTGTGTTTGTGTGTATGTGTGTGTATATATATATATATATATATATATAATATTATATATATTTCTCTGCACTTTTGCATTCAGTCACACATAGAAAGGATGCAAATGATTGCTTATTACCTATGGATCAACAAGCATTTGGTGTAATATAACTATACCCTCATCCCCACCTTCAAATTGAGAGATACAGAGACTTCCAAGGTAGTTTAATCTTGTTGCAGATGTGACTTTTGTTGTTAGTGCTTTGGATGGAATGTCAACGCTAGATCATCACAGTATTCTTACATTTATTGAAATATTAACTTCATTGTTGGGAGACAGAGCTTGGAAAGTCAAATGGTAAAATACTTGGGGGCTATTTAACTATTGGATTTTAAGTTTTTTAGGTTAGAAATTCAACAAACAATATAATGGTTTCATATATATTTCATGCTCAGATAGGTACTGAAGTTGATAAAAAAGATAAAAGTATTAAAATCAGACCTGAACATAATTATAAAATCAGTTGACCAAAAGTTAAATTCTTAAATGGTAAGACTGATTTATCTAGATTAGATTCTGACCATATTTTCATTATTTTAGTTGTCACTTTTATGATTTTTGGTGTGACAAATGAAGTGCTGGTAGTTATATTTAAACATTATAGCCCAGCCGGAGTGATTCAGTGGTTGAACATCAGCCTATGAACCAGGAGGTCATGGTTCGATCCCTGGTCAGGGCACATGCCCGGGTTGTGGGCTCCCTACCAGTGTGGAGCGTGCAGGAGGGAGCAGATCAATGATTCTCATATTTGATGTTTCAGTCTCTCTCTCCCTCTCCCTTCCTCTTCGAAATCAATAAAAATATATTTTAAAAAATTATAAAATGCTTTGCCCCTCCTTTTCCTATGCTCCTTCATGTCTTCAGTTCTATGTTTACTGGCATATGAACTTTCATTAAGAGCACTGTTTTCGGTTGATTTTGCAGCGAGAGCCCCAACTCCATAAGCATGTCCCACTCTTTTCTCTACTCCACATCACCTGTCTCTGCTATTACTCTCATGATGTATAATGACAGAGATGTGTGCTGTCCTCACCTCCAGGTAACCTCATTCCAAGGCACCAGGAGCTGTTTTATAAAAACCCTGCATTTGCCGGAGTAAGGTTGCCTGAAATCAAGGAAATGGAACCTCTTGAAAGACGCTATCCCAAACTCCCTGAAGTTGTGATCGATTTAGCAAAGGTAACCATACTTTTTCTTTCACTTTCTGACAGGGAATTTATATTTCAGAGACTTGGCTTTCTCTTATGTTTTTTCTTGTTTAGTTGATCATTTAGGTCAACAATTTTGTGTATATGGAGTGTGTGTGGGGGTTTTGGGGGGAAGACTTCAGAGATAAAGACCTGAAAATTTCACCTAAGAAATCATTTAGTGTTATCTAGCTTGTTTTAAGTGTGAAAACATCCTCATAGAGATGTTTTTAATGTTTAACATTTAAAGTGTAAACCTTGTTTAAGTGGAAAAGAAAAATAGGATAAGAAAATAAAAAGAAAGGCAGAGTAGCAGGAAAATTAATTAAATTATAGGGCATAGGATCATGATTTGCGGCGTATTGTTAAACCAATAAGAATAGATACTGCACTTGATCCGAGCCAAAAGGCCGAGAGGTGATCTGTTGTTTATTGTTAAAGGGGCTTTCGCTTAGCCACTGGATTTGCTGAGGCTAATTTGCAAATCATCATCACCTTTGCCTTGTGTTTGATTGAGGTAGATATTAGGGAGAGTCTCAATGTATCAAATTGTCTTTAAACATGGACATTTTGGAATTATTAGCTCAAAACAATTCTTTTTAGTTAGGATTGTCCTAAAGTATTGATTAAATAAGTACCTCTAAAACATCAGGATCACATAACATTTATCTAAGTTATTTATTTTTATTTTTTTTAGGTTTCTATATAACTCATTAAAAACGTTTAGTGAGCCCTGGCCAGCTTGGCTCAGTGGATGGAGTGTTGGCCTGCAGACTGAAGGGTCCCAGGTTCCATTCCGGTCAAGGGCACATGCCCTGATTGTGGGCTCGATCCCCAGTAGGGAGTGTGCAGGAGGCAGCTGATCAATGATTCTCTCTCATCACTGATGTTTCTATCTCTCTCTCCCTCTCCTTTCCTCTCTGAAATCAATAAAAATATATTTTTAAAAGTTTAGTGAGTTTATAACTAATTATAATAAGTTCTTAGAATAACACGTTTCTAATCCTATATAATAAAAGATTAATATGCAAATTGACTGAACAGTGGAACGACTGGTTGCTATGACGTGCACTGACCACCAGGGGGCAGACACTCCTGGTGGTCAGTGCACTCCCACAGAGGGAGTGCTGCTCAGCCAGAAACTGGGCTCATGGCTGGCTAGTGCAGCAGCGGTGGTGGGAGCGGGCCTAAGCTGGCAGGCGGACATCCCCCAAGGTCTACCGAACTGTGAGAGGGTGCAGGCTGGGCTAAGGCCCCTCCTCCCCCAATGCACGAGTTTCATGGACTGGACCTCTAGTTTTCTATATAATCTTCTAACACATGCAAATATTTTTCATTGAAACCTGCTTTATGATCAATCTATAAAGAGATTTAAAGGGAATAAAAATAAAATTATTGTCTAACTTATGGCCCTTATAGTAGAATCATATAACTTTTAAAACATTTTATTACAGAAATTTTCAACAGAAAAGAAAGAATAGCAATAGAATGTAACCTTGCATACTTGTCATCTAGCTTCAACAATTAACAACCTCTAGACAATCTTTATCATCTATCTACACCCTCAGCACCTTTTTTTGGAGCATTTTGAAACAAATTGAAGATATATTTTTTCACTTAAAATACCTTAATTATATGTAGAACTTTTCTTGTTCATTTAAAGCTACTTATTGAGTCCCTTGTATTTTTACTAACATCGAATGGTTTCAATTAATCAGAACAAGCTCTGCATTACAATAGAATCTTCTGTGTAAAGTATCTAGCACAATAATAAGCACAGAGCAGGTCCTTTCCCTCCCATTCTGCAAGGGCTTTAACTTTTAAAATTTCACCGTAATTCCTTAATATCATAAAACATTGAATCAATGCTCAAACTTTCATTGACTTTCTCATAATCTCTTTTTTTTTATATATATATATATTTTTATTGATTTTTTACAGAGAGGAATGGAGAGAGATAGTTAGAAACATCGATGAGAGAGAAACATCGATCAGCCGCCTCCTGCACATCTCCTGGAGATGTGCCCGCAACCCAGGTACATGCTCTTGACCGGAATCGAACCTGGGACCTTTCAGTCCGCAGGCCGACGCTCTATCCACTGAGCCAAACCGGTTTCGGCAGCTCATAATTTCTTTTTATAGTTTAAATTAGGATTCACATAGAGTCTACATATCAATCAGTTAACTTATTTTTTTTGAAAAATGTTTTATGAATTTCAGAGAGGAAGGGAGATGGAGAGAGAAATAGAAACCTCAGTAATGAGAGAGAATCATCAATTGACTGCCTCCTGCATGCCCTCTACTGGGTATTGAGCTCGAAACGTGAGCATGTGCTATAACCCGGAAGGGAACCGTGACCTCCTGGTTCAATGCTCAACCACCGAGCCACATTACTGGGCTAGTTATCTTTTTTTTTTTTTTTTTTTTTTTTTAAGATTCTTAATTTACAAACTCATCTTCATCTCTTTTTGTTTTGTCTGCTTAAACCTTGCTAATTATTTGTTGAAGAAGCTAGGTTGTTTGTCCCTTAGAATTTCCCATATAGAATAGTTTAATATGTTCCTCTGTGTCTTGTATTTTTTATAAATTCATAGAGCTAGAGCTTGATCAGAATGTCTGGTGGTCTTTCTTTTTGTGATATTAGCAACCGTTGGTCATTGTCTAGATTTGTGATTTATTCTTTATCATTTATCATAGATATTTAAATTCATGACTATAAAGATGTATTTTCTATGTTTAGACATTTCAATGTGGTTAGATTAAAAAAATATATGAGCTACATGGGTTGTTTTTTCCCCCCCAGAAATGCTTACATATTGATCCAGACAAAAGGCCCTTCTGTGCTGAGCTCCTGCACCACGATTTCTTTCGTATGGATGGATTTGCTGAATGGTATGGTACTGGCTCATGTTTTCCAGGTCACCCCAGCCTAGAGTTGAAATAAGGTCTTCATAATAGTAACAGACAGTATTTCTCTAGCCAGCTACTTTGATAGGATTGCATATATTTACCGCCCTACCTCCCTTCATCCTTAGCAGCCAAGGAATTTGTAGGAGTGGTCCCCTGTACTCACTAACTTAGGGCTCTTGGTTTTCACAAAGCAGTCACTTCCTGCTTTTATTCCTGTCTTCCTGTGGTAACATGCACCGCTCAGGTCACTGGTTTCTATGTTGCTACCAGTTGTATGATGCCATCGTCTTGGGTGCTGATGCATTTGCAAAGGTGCCATTTCCTGTTGTTGCCAAACTCATACCACACCCAGTCCTGTGACCCTGCTGACACTGCTGATGTGATGGAGACTTTGGTGTGCCAAATGTGTGGGTGCCAGAGCTGTTGGCATGTCCTCTTGTGCTGTTTGAGCTACTGGAATTAGTATAGCTGAGAAAGCAAAAATATAGTGAGATGAGTGGTAATGACATTGCTTTATATTTTTACAAGTCTAGTTAATATCTAGTTTACTAAAAGATACCTGGGTTCTCATATTTGCTTCTAATTTCAGTAATTTTGATATGTTGTGTTGTTTGAAATATATGAAGAAACCCTGACCTCATACAAATATGTTGTTGGGAAATGGAAGAATATTTTACTAGCTTTTTAAAATAATTGTGCACATTCTTCTTTGATCCCATACCAAAAACTTTGATGCTATATTAACACTGACAGTGGTAGTTCTTATATATTGGTTGTGGAATCTGAAACCACATCAATGAGCTTTTTTTTACCCGGTTACATTAAAATTTCACACTTTGAATAGGTCCTTTACCCATGTATACTTTTGTAATAACATACGTTAGCCATTTGGAAAATATTGTTTTGCTGTTATACAGATCTTTAAAATGTTGACCTATTTCATTATGCCACATTCAAAAAGCCACATTCTGTCTCATCAGAAAAGTCTTTAAATATTGGGAATTTGCTCAGCTCACAGTAGTGGATATAAATTTAACAGAATTCTAATTTTGCATAAAATTTTGAATTTTATTGACACAAATACCAGTTGTTTTCCTTGAAGTGACAAGCTCCTTCATTCACTTTTTAAAAGAGAATGTATGAATAACAACAGCTCTTCTGTCAGTCTTTCTTTCAAGTAAAACTGTTCCAAGAAACAGGTGGCTAGTTTAGTTTGTATCGCAAACAATCACTCAGTGCTCTCCTTAAGATAACCATTGTGCTTCAGTTTGTAGCAGAAGTGCTTTTTGCATATTCCCATATTGTCACACAGAATATGAAAAAGGCATATGTTCAAGGATTTAGATTTAATAAAATTAATACTTTTTTATTGTTTTATCAGGGACACCCTTAAATACAACTCTCTCTCTCTCTCTCTCTCTCTCTCTCTCTCTCTCTCTCTCTCTCTCTCTCTCTCTCTCTCTCTCTCGTTTAACTGAGAATGTTGGCTATGAAGAATACAGTGACTGTTAGTGCAGTTCGGCGCCACTGTTGCTTTCATCAGCGCAAATGTTAACAGGATGAAAAGGAAGTCATCTTTGTCTTAAGAATAGCTTTGGCCTTTTGAACCTCCTGAAAGGTTCTTAGTGATTCCCAGGGGTATACAAACTACCTTTTGAGAACTGCTAATGTAGGCCATAATTTTTCTCATTTTCAATAACACAATCTAGTTTAATACTCAATTTTTAAAAATAGATATCTTGAAAACCATTTTTTCCCCTTGATATCTGTCTCACACAATTTTATTTTGTTGACAAATGTATTTTTATGTAGGTTCTCTCAGGAACTACAGTTAAAAATACAGAAAGATGCCAGAAATATTTCTTTATCTAAAAAATCCCAAAACAGAAGGAAGGAGAAGGAAAAAGATGACGTTTTAGGTGAGGAGAGAAGCACACTTGTGGTACAGGTAAGTGTCCATGTTTTGATGTTTATTAAATTTAATGTATAATAAATTTAATATTAAATTTATTATGTTGGAGGGTAAAAAAAGAAGGTTAAATTATTTTCTGATGGGGAATAAGTTAACTTTTAGCTTCTTTATAAAAATGTATCTTTTCTATAGATATTATCTGTTTAAAAAATCTTAACATATCATATAGTGAGTGCCTACTGTGTACCAGACTGTGCAGGAAATCATTCTCATTCAAGAACATATAGACACAGGTGAATATCCACATACCAATACATGGACACAAACACACATGCACACCATTTTTTCCCCTTAAATGATAGAAGAGAAAATATCATTGTTAGAATTTTATATAAAGTAGAGCATTTTAAAATTGAAATCTAGGTATTCAATTTATTTGAAGTTTACTTTTCCTGGTATGTTATCTAGAATTGGTTCTTGGTAAGGTAATTCAAATCCACCACCAACCACTCCTGTTTTCTCACATGAATCAAAAGAAAAGACTTTCAATTTTGTGTTTCCTGACTCTACATATATAAGAACAAAGGTGGGCATGCTTGATTTCTCTTCCACATTTCTTCCCACTGAAATATTTATAAATTAGATATATGTCTCATGTAAATCTGAGGTGTGCAGGGCATGGCAAACATAGGTTTACAGGTGTGAGTATGCTAATCAGTTTATTCTTGTATGATTATTTATTAATTACTGTATTATTTTCCATATGAACAACTATAAACCTACTTTTGCCCCACCCTGTATACATCAGAGCTAGTGTAAATTGCATTTCTATTCAAAATAAATGTCTGACCAAGAATCTTGGGTTTAATTTTAATTCCATAGGTAGATAAAAAAATACAGGGCCACAAAAAGGTGATGTCTGTGGAATTCTGGTTTAGTTGACAAGTACTTTATAGGTAGAGGTGATTTTTCATTATCCTCATATCATTAATGTTATTAACATTTTTATTATTCCTCAGGATTCCAATGCTGATCCCAAAATTAAGGATTCTAGAATATTAAAGATAAAAGGGTCAAAAATTGATGGAGAAAAAGTTGAAAAAACCAGTCGCGCTTCAAATGTCAGCTGTCTCCATGACAACGGGTCTAGCCACATCAAAGCAGTGCCTTCAACAAGCCTCAGAGATTGCAGCAATGGCAGTGTGGACCACACAAGGAATCCAGGCATGGCTATTCCTCCACTTACACACAATCTTTCTGCACTAGCTCCTGGTATTAATTCTGGAATGGGGACTATCCCAGGAGTTCAGAGTTACAGGTATGAATTAAGAAAATAAGAACAAAAGGTTGTTTAAGGATATATTTGCAAATTTGTAAGTCATTGTCAATTCAGCCCCATTGTTTTACTCTCAGGCTTTTGGATATTGTTCATTCTTGTCAGGTTGCTGTTTTAAAAGACTTTTTGGTCTATATAATGAAGATTATTAGCATTTGGTCAAAAAATTAACCTGAGTCCTAAGAAAGTAGGGTTGCACTGTTTAAGGTGAAGAGAATCTACAGCTATTTATTCTAATAACATGAAAGGAGGTTGTCATAACAAAAGAGATAATTGATTTTCAAGGTCTGTTTCTGCATTGTATGGCTACAGGCATTTAGTGATACAAAGAAGCTCCTTTTGGGAATTTTGTTTAAAGGAAGGTAATTTGGTTGGAGTTGGGGACTGGGTAGGAGGCATGAGTGTAGGACAGAATATTTTACCGGATCTGTGCACATAGTGTTTTTAAGAATAGGCATTAAATGCTGATTAAACTGCATGTCACTTGGTGCTATGCAATTTGGTTTTGTGCTTGAAAAATAATTACTGTTGGTTCTAACTTAATATTTTTGTCCTTGTTGTTACAGAGTGGATGAGAAGACCAAGAAGTATTGTATTCCATTTGTTAAACCAAACCAACAGACTCCACCAGGCATTTATAATATTAACATGACCAAACCAGTAAGTGATCTGTTCTCAGTGGTAGAAGAACAAGCTAAGTAATTTCTAGACTTTTGTTAATATTAAATATAATGGTGAAGAACTGAGATTTTTATTTGGGGACAAATCATAAAATGGAAGCTTAATTATGCATATATCTTCCCAGCCTGTCATAATCATAAATGTGAAAGACTTAAAGTTTAAGTAAGTTTTAGAAAGTAATATCAATCTGGAACTTAAAATGTAAGATTTTATTAAAATGACATCTGTTTTAATTCTTTAGGCAACAGTAAATTTTCTTAACCTAATGCTTGGTGATCAGTTTTTTTTTAGAGTAGAGAAGATAAATGGTCTTATCTCACCCACACTAGGTTTTTGGGAAAAGTATTCTGTTTCTTCATTTAACCAATATTTATTGATTACCTGTCTCTATATATAAAAAGCCAGTGACCGGAATGCCGTAACAACTGGAACTATGATGCCCACTGCGGCCAGTGATCCGGCCTGATGGGGGCAGTGGGGCTGGCTGGCCAACCTCCTGCAGCCCCTTCCCCCCAGCCGGCTCCATCCATGATCACCCCCCCTACCCCATTAGAGGGTGGGGCCGGCTGCCAACCTCCTGCAGCCCCTCCCCCAGTGTGGCCCCACCCCAGATCAGCCCCCTCCACCCCGATCAGGGGCAGGGCCAGCTGGCCAACCACCTGTAGCCCCTCTCCCCAGCCAGATCTGCCTCCCAATCGCCCCCCCAATCAGGGGTGGGGCTGGCTGACCAATCTCTCACAACCCCTCCCCTGGCCGCTGACCGCTGACCCCTGATCAGCCCCCCACTGCATTTGGGGGCGGGTCAGCCAGGCTACCACCCACAGCCTCTTCCCATGGCTGGCCTTGCCCCCAGTAGGCCCCCCCCCAATCAGAGGTGGGGCCACTGGCCAATCGCCCACAGCCCCTCCCCCAAGCTGGCTTAGCCCTGATCAGGCCCCAATCGGGGCAGGCCATCCAGCCAACCTCCTGCCATCTCCTCCTCCCAACAGGCCCGGCCCCGATCCACCCCAATTGGGGCCGTGCCAGCGGGACCCCACCTGTGCACTAATTCATGCACTAGGCTTCTAGTTATGTATAAAACACTAGAGATGAATGAGTCAATCTTTCTCTTCAAGGAACCCTTGGTTTAGTAGAGGATCAGCAAGTTAAAGCATAGATTGTAATAGAAGCATGTAGAAGGTTCACATGTCTTCTGAAGCTTCAGAGGAACATTTTAATGCTCAAGATAGCTTCTTTTTAAAGTTAAATCATCATCACTCTTACACTCAAAACCCTCCCTTGGCTTTTCATTTCTGAGTAAAGACCCGAGTCCTTGCTGAGTCTTTAAGTCCCCATCCCTCTGTCCCATTCACAGCTCCTCTCATTCTTGATCAGTCTATTCCAACCACACTGATTTCCTTGTTATTCCTGCAACATAGTCAGACATGCTGCAACACTTAGGCTTTTGCACTTGCTTCTTCCTCTACTTTGGAACAGTCTCCAGATAATCCAAAAAACTTGCTTTTTCTCTTCCTTGGCTTAAATGAAACCTTATTACAGTGATGGCGAACCTTTTGAGCTCGGCGTGTCAGCATTTTGAAAAACCCTAACTTAACTCTGGTGCCGTGTCACATATAGAAATTTTTTGATATTTGCAACCATAGTAAAACAAAGATTTATATTTTTGATATTTATTTTATATATTTAAATACCATTTAACAAAGAAAACTCAACAAAAAAATGAGTTCGCCTGTCACCTCTGACACGCGTGTCATAGGTTCGCCATCACTGCCTTATTATGAGGTCTTCCCTAATATGATAACTCATTTTGCCTCCCATTACTTTCTATCCTCTCACCTTGCTTAGTTTTTTTCCATTATATATATTTGACGTCCTCTCCATTCTTTTATATATCGTCTGTCTCCCTCAGTAAGATGTAAGCTTCCAAGGCAGGGATTTGTGCTTTGTTTCCTCCCTGCTCTCACTCACACCTAGAACAGTGTCTAGCAAATTGAAACTGCTTAAGAAATGCAAATGAATTCTGCCAGGGAAAGGGAGGTATGGACATATTCCCAAAAAAGTATTTTTCTCGCAAATTTTCCTTCTCTATTTTCTTTCATTATCCTCAGTGCTGAAAATTATAGCCTTTCTTGTTCATCTCTCATGATCTAGACATTATATTTGCTTGTTTTTAAGTTTTTCTTAGACTGCAATATCTGTACCCATCGTGCTTTCCTTTTGACATAGCCTACCTTTTGATTTCTCTGTGGATATTTTGTGTTTTACATTCCAAGTCTGCTTTGAAGATTCTTTTGCTCAGCTAGGCTTTTCCAAATAGCTGGCTCAATACCATTTTTCTGGAATTGATATCAGCCTTCTTTCAGGCATTGCATAACCATCACTGGCTAGTAATTTTAGATCTTATTTCTGTTTATATTTCTTTGGGACAGGCAATTAAAAAAGGAGGTCAAGATTAGTTGGGGGCAGATCCACTGGCAAATTAATGGAAGCAGAGCTAAACCTAAACTTTCTTCAACTTCTAGGTTGAAGATCAATAATAAATATATTATTATAAATATCTCTTACGTATTTTACTTGCCACTGTTTGAATATGTAAATCTGGTAGTTTGGATTTGTTTATTTATGTTTGCATTTGCAGATAATTTTTTTGAACTAATTATTTTATTTTGTAGCTGACTTGAGCCAAGAGCCTTAGCACTTATTCTATTAAAAGAACAAACAGAAACATCCAAAAGAAAGAAACTCAAAGTCTCACTCCAGGACTTGAGAAGACTTTGTGGGAGGCAGAGTGGCATAATTCAGAGAATATTAAATTTGAGACATCAAGGAACCTCAATGACAGCTTGACACTGTCATTATATGTGTTTGTGTATATATTTCATTATACATACAAACATATGTAAAAACACATGTATGATTTCATTATATATAGGTGTGGGTTTTTTTTAAAGAAAATCACACACTCTATATATTACCTGTTCTGAAAATGTAAAAAAGAATACAGACTTTCTGTCATTCTCAAATGAAACGGAAAAATGTCAAATCCATAAAGGTACAGAGTTGAAGTGCTCCTACTATTCTTCACTTTATTATTTTCTCAGACTTTATCAACTATGAAGTAATAATACTAAGATTTGGAAAATAATTGAAGTTGTAATTCTTTACTTAATAAACTGTGTAACTAGCAGATAGTATCATATGCTAACTCTGAGGAGCAGGACAAGGACAAATGTTTTTAAAATGAGCACCAAGATTATGTTGGGAAAGCAAAAAACAACCTAGGACATGTGATATACCTGGCCAGATAAACTGCTCAGAATTAAGCAACTATATGCTGAAAAGCTCAGCAAGTGTCCTAAGGCCTGACCTTGCTGGCCTGATGCCCATCTGCTAACCTTTTACTGATTGCCAGGACTTACCTGAAGGCTGAGAGAGGGAGAAGGAGAAACTCATATCAACCAGTAATCCACCTGTTAGCAATTTTAATACATTTACTGAGGTAGAGGTTTGAGATAACTAGGTGAAATGGTTTTTTGTGTGTTACTTATGTTTTTCAAATATTGTATTATTCCAGATCTTCAAATCCATACATTTTAGGCTATGACTATAGTAGTTAGACAAGGGGCAAGCCCAGTTTACCTGGAAGCTAATTCATTTGTGTTAATCATTCTGATGATATTAGATCACTAGTGAAAAGAGCCTCCTTCAGGCAAATAAGAAAAGAAGAGAATACGCAAAGACAGATGTGCATTTGCCTGAATTAAACTATAATCATCTCCCTGAACTGAGAGCCTTGGAAGGCGTAGGTATGTTTACAATGCTTTTACCTTGTCAGCCCTTTTGTTTGCATTGTTTAAAATGTATGTTAGGCGAACACAATATCAAAAACTCATACATGTATGTTAAATGAACAGAATATCAAAAACTCGTAAATGTATGTTAAATGAACAGAATATAAAAAAACTCATAGTAATTTTACATTTTTATATATGAAAATATGTTCAGACTTATGTACAATAAGTAATACATACAAAGGGACAGATACAGAATGTGAAAAACTAATAAAGATGTCTATTTTTTTCACTGTGCTTGTGGTTATTTTTGTGCAGCTCGAAATTCCAGGCTAATGAGGAAAGAGAACAAAAACCTTTCAGAATCTCAAATTCCTTCTCTGGCCGCTATTGACTTGCATGCCTCCAGTGTTACACTGCATCAGGTACAGAAATACTCTGTAGGTTGTGTGGAGCTCCGGTTTCTCTCATATTTCCTGTTCAAGTTTCTTAGGGAGAGTTTGCTCTTAAGGATTGGGAAGGTTTATTGGTGAGATCTATAAAATTTTGCTTGTTAAATTGTATATTTTGGTTCATTGAACTTAGTACTTCTATGACATATCCTATATAATAAAACCCTAATATGCAAATCAACAGAACAGCGGAACACCAGTGGCTATGATGCACACTGCCCCCCCCCCCCCCCCACTGCAGAAGGAAGTGACTGGCAGTGGTGATCGGGGGGCGGGGCCGGCCGGAGGGTGCCAGTGGGGGCCTCTCCACCCCCCCACCCCCACCCCCCGATCCCCCTGCTTGCCAGTTGCCCCACAGATGGCCCTGATCACCGGTCAGGCCTAGGGACCCTACCCTATATGTTGGGAACAGTCTCTTAGATTTAAAAATTAAAACCTGGCAAGGCTACTCTAACAATGAAAAAACAGGATGATGCAGCGATGACATGCATGGACTCTGGCTGGCACATTTTGTGGTCAGCCCTGATTCTGACACTTAAAACTGTGTGACAAAGCCAATGACTTAACTTCTCTCTGCTTCAGTTTTTCCACCCATAAGATGGGGAAAATGGTACTACTGCCTCAGAAGGATCATGTTATGTACTACTTTTTATAATCAGGGCAAAAAATGTAGCCATCCAAATAACAGCAAGATGCTTTTCACCTGTATGAAAAGTATGGTCACTGGTGCATGCAGCGTCCCAGATTGTGAGAGGAATGTCCGACTGCTGGTGTAAGCCTGGCAACCCCCGAGGGGTGTCAGATTGTGAGAGAGCACAGGCCCGCCCCCTGCCCCCTGCCCCCACACTAATTTCATGCACCAGGCCTCTAGTATGTTTATATTAACATTTCGCAGCTTACAGTAATCAATGTTTTATGATTAAACGTGTGTGTGTGTGTGTGTGTGTGTGTAGCCTAGTTATGGTTTTTATATAACTACAAGTTTTGTTGTAGCTTATAGTATTTCACTGCATTAGCACCAAAATTATAATCTATCTTCCAAAGTGTAAAACTCTGAAACTGTTTTTATTCTTTTAAAATGTATTGTCTGACACTTTTCCCCAAGATGATCCACTTTAGCCTTGTTAAAGATTTGTTATTACGACAGTCATCTTTTCCTGTAATTTCTCTTAGCGCTTAAGACTATGTTTCTGCTACTTTTATATGAAAACATATGAGTCACATCGCTCATTTTCACATTGAGAAAACCGTCAAATTTTTAAATCCTGAGCCAACCATAACTCGCTACAAACTTTGGATATGTATTATTGTACTTCACTTTTACTTTTTCAGATTTCTCACCTTTACTTGATGCTTGGAAACTTTTGTTTTAGAATGAAATTCTCCAGCCTCATTGTTTAAGCATTTCCATTTAATTTAATAGAGAAACTGTATGTTGCTTCTTTATCAATGTGAATACTCTTTTCTCCTTAACTATGTTACTCCTTAAATAATTTTGTAGAGCTCTCTAAACAAGGGGAATAATATTGTTGAGGATAAATTACAGAGGCAGTTACCCAGTGATACTGAGAAAAAGGTTTATTGATTGCTGTTGCTTTGCCTTATCTCTTGCTGACAATTTCTGTAGCAACATTATTAAAACTAAACAAATTCCTGTTGTATGAAGATGAATCACTGTCACAGATTTAACATCTGGTAACTATAGAGTCTCAATAAATTCCTTTTATACTTCTAAAGTTAAATTTAATGTGCATTTTAAAGGTGCAGAATTTTTCATTTGCTCTCCGAGAGTGCACTATGGTTCAAAAGCACTTTTCAGGGTTGACATAACCAAATCTAGTTTCAGCCAATGTAAGAAAGGTTTTTATTTTTGTTTTGAACTAATCTTTTTTTTTTTTTAATATGTTTTTACTGATTTTAGAGAGAGAGAGGAAGGGAGAGGGGTAGAGAGATAAAAACATTGATGGGAGAGAGAAACACCTATCGGTTGCTTCCTGCACGCCCCCTACTTGGTTTGGAGCCTTCAACCAGGGCATGTGCCTTGACTAGAAATTGCACTGTTTATCTCTTGGTTCAGGGGTTGATGCTCATCCACTGAGCCATGCTGGCCGGGCTGAACTAATTGTTTTATACATTTAAATTGGTTCTGCATTTTTAGTCTCAATTTACTTGCTTAGTTTCCAGTTGTATTTAAACTACAATAAAGGGGAAAGTAGGTGTAACAAAAATCACAAGTTAACAACAAAATAACATGAGCTTATGTATAGAAATCTGAAGGGCCCTAACCGGTTTGGCTCAGTGGATAGAGTGTCGGCCTGCGGACGGAAAGGTCCCAGGTTTGATTCCCGTCAAGGGCATGTACCTTGGTTGCGGGCACATCCCCAGTAGGAGGTGTGCAGGAGGCAGCTGATTGATGTTTCTCTCTCATCGATGTTTCTAACTCTCTATCCCTCTCCCTTCCTCTCTGTAAAAAATCAATAAAATATATTAAAAAAAGAAATCTGAAGGAAAGAGAAACACCAGAAGACTGAAAGCAAGACTTTCTGGTAGGCGCTGTGACTTGCCCTGCACTTACTTTATTATTAAGACTACATTGAACTATGTTTCATTTTTGTACATAACACAACATTTTCACCTTTATAAAAGTCTATTTGTACTTTTTGGAAAAATCTGTAAGATAGATTTTTGTAAGTAAAGTGTTGCATAATCCCCCCTTCCCTGCCCACACACACACTTATACATATTATGTACTTATGCACACAACTACATGTTTTTTTTCCCCTGTAAGCATGGTTTTAGCTTTATCCCACAAATTTTGGTATGTTGTAGTTACATTATCATTCAGTCCAAACATTTTTTAAAAAAAATATATTTTATTGATTTTTTATAGAGAGGAAGGGAGAGAGATAGAGAGTTAGAAACATCGATGAGAGAGAAACATCGATCAGCTGCCTCCTGCACGCCCCCCATGGGGGATGTGCCCGCAACCCAGGTACATGCCCTTGACCGGAATCGAACCTGGGACCCTTCAGTCCGCAGGCTGACGCTCTATCCACTGAGCCAAACCGGTTTCGGCCAAACATTTTTTTTATTTCCCACGTAATTTCTTTTTTAACCCATGAATTACTTAGAAATGATTGTTTAATGGTTAGATATTTGGGTTTTCCCTAGATATTTTGTTATTATCAATTTCTAATTTAATTCCATGTGGTTAGAGAATATACTTTGTATGAATTTGATCCTTTTAGAGTCATTGAGATGTGTTTTATAGCCCAGCATATGGTCTATATTGGTAAATTAAACTTGTCCCCTTGAAAATGTGTGTATTTCTTAGTTGTTGGATATAATGTTCTATAAATGTGGAATTAAACTAAGGTGGTTGATAGTGTTGTTCAGATCTCCTGTGTCCTTATGATTTTGTTGTTGTTCACTTCTATCAGTTACTGAAAGAGTGCTCTCAAAATCTTTTACGATGATTGTGGAATTGTCTATTTTTCTCATATCTGTTTATTTTTGCTTCATGTATTTTAATCTCTTTTTAGTTACATGCACACTTAAATTGTATTGTCTTCCTGATACATGTCCCTTTTATTATTATGAGATGTCTCTCTCTAACTCTCATAGTACTCAGGGCCTTGAAGTCTATTTTGTCTGAGATCAAAATAGTCACTCCAGCCTACTTATACTTATGTTTCCATGGTATATCTTTTTTCTTTTCATTTACTTTCAACCTACCTGGTTTTTATAAAGTGTTCCTTTTGCCAAGAGCATATAAATAGGATCTTTCCTTTGTATCCATTCTGTCAATTCCAATTCTTTTAATTGGAATGTGTGTTAGTTTTCTGTTGCCGATAACAATTACTTCAACTTAAAACAATATCCGTTTATTATTCCACAGTTCCCATGGGCCAGGAGCCCGGGCCAAGCTGCTTCTCTCCTTCAGAGTCTCACAGGCCGAAATCAAGGTGTCATCAGGGCCGCGTTTCTCTCTGGAGGCTCTAGGGGAGAATCCGTTTCCAGGCTTGTTCAGGTTGTCGGCAGAATCCAGTTCCATGTCGTGTGGGACCTAAGTTTCCTTGTTGTCCCTGCTTTTTTGCTGGCTGATCCCTGGGGATGGTTCTCGTCTAGAGCCTACCCACATTCCTGGGAACCATCTTCAAAGACAGCAACATTAGCTGGATTTTTAAATTATTATTATTATTAATAATAATAATTATTATTATTCTTTGAATCTCTCTTACCTCCTCTTCTGCCTCATCTCTCTGACTCTTCTGCTTTTTTAAAAAAATATTTATTTTATTGATTTTTTTACAGCGAGGAAGGGAGAGGGATAGAGAGTTAGAAACATCGATCAGCTGCCTCCTGCACACCCCCCCACTGAGGATGTGCCCGCAAACAAGGTACATGCCCCTTGACCGGAATCGAACCCGGGACCCTTCAGTCCGCAGGCCGACGCTCTAGCCACTGATCCAAACCGGTCAGGGCGTGACTCTTTTGCTTTTAAGGATGATGTGATTACATTGGGCCCACCAGGGTAATCTCTCTACCTTAGGGTCAGCTGATTAGTAACATCGATTTCATGTGCAAAGTCCCTTCACACAGAACTTAAATTAGTTTGATTGACTAACCAGGGATAGGCATCTTAGGGGGATATCTTTAGAATTGTGACTAGCACTGAATATTTAGGCTATTAACGTTTAATGTGATTATTGATACGTTTGGGTCTAGCTCTGTTTTATTCTTTTATTATTTGTTTCTTATTTGTTCCTCTGTTTTCCTTTTCCAGTCTTCTTTCATATTTGAGTATTGTTAGTGTTGACTTTTGGGGGACATCTCTTTGTATAATTTTTTTAGCCGTTGGTCTAATTCTGTCAACCACACATATATATACACGCACACACACATATATGTATGTGTATGTGTAAATACTGTGTATATATATATATACACACACACATACATATATATATAATTTTTCACAGTCTACTTATAGCAAATATTAAGCCACTTATAAATGTAAAAACCTTGCAAATATATTTCCCTTCCCACCAACCTGAACTTTTTTTGAAAGAATTTTATTTATTTATTCTTACCCAAGGACGTACTTGGAGGGAGGAAGGGAGAGAGAGAGAAACATCACTTGGTTGCCTTCCATGCGCGCTCCAACCGGGAACTAAACCCACAATCTAGGTAGGTAAGTGCCTTGACCGGGAATTGAACCAGTAACCTTTTGGTGCACAGGACGACACTCAATCAACTGAGCCACTATGGCTGGTCCACCAACTTGAAATTTATGTTAGAGTTAATCACATATATTTTATTTACATACATTGAAAACTCCACTACACTGTCATACATTTTGCTTTAAGCAGTCATAAATATTTTAAACAATTTATGAGAAAAAAGTAGTCTTCTATATTTTCCTAGCTACTTATCATTTCTGTTTTTTCTTTTTTCTTAAAGATTACAGTTTCATTTTCTGGTATTTTCCTTTCAGCGAAAATCTTCCTTCTTGCAATTCTTGCAGAGTAGGTCAGATGTTGATAAACTCTTAGTTTTCCTTCATTTGAGAATGACTTTATTTTGCTTTTGTTCCTAAAGTATATTTTTATTGGATATAAAATTTGAGTTGGTAGGTTGTTTTAAATTTTTTTTTCTCTCTCAAGACAATAAGGATGTTATTCCTCTTTTCTGACTTCTGTGATTTCTTGGGGAAAACTCTCAGGTACTTGAATAATTATTCTTCTGTATGTAATGTTTCATTTTTCTCTGGCTGCTTTCAAGATTTAATCTTTTGTGTTCATTAGGTTGAGTATAATATGTGTAGGCATAGTTTTTTTTGTTTGTTTGTTTGTTTTAATGTATCCTGTTTGGGGTTTTCTGAGCGTCTTAAATCTGTAAACTTATACCTAATTGGGGAAGTTTTTAGTCCTTATTTTTTCAAAAAAAATTTTCCCGCCACAATCTCTTTTCTCCTTCTGAGATTCCAGTGACATATATGTTAGACCTTTTGGTATTTTCTCACAGGTTCCTGAGAATCTGTTCATGCTCATCAATCTTTTCTCTCTTTATTCTTAGGACTAGGTCATTTCTATTGATCTGTCATAAAGTTTTTTAACTCTCTACTTTGTCATTTGCATTCTGCTATTAAGCCCATCCAGTGAAGTTTAAAAATTTCAGTACTGTTTTTTAATTCTAAATATCTATTTAGTTCTGTTTGAGAGTTCTACTCTTCTACCAAGAATTCCTGTTCCTTAATTTCATTATTTTTTTTTCATCTCATATACCATAGTTATAATGGCTACTTAAAAATAACTATGCACACACACACGCACACACACACACACACACACACACTATATATATATATATATATATATATATATATATATATATATTTATATATTCATATTCCAACACCTGGACCACCTCAGGATTGATATTTGTTGATTGACTTGATCACACTTTCCTGGATTCCCCCCCCCCCCCCCCCAGTATTTTTGGATTATATCTAGGACATAGTAGTTATTATGTTGTGTAGTCTCATGGTTCTGTTATAATACTCTGGAAAATGTTGAATTTTTTGTTTTAGCAGGAAGTCACCCAAGTGTGGTTCACATTGTAAATTCTGCCTTAGCTTCTGTGAGGGGTGGTTCAAATATCAGTTCTCTAGGTCTTTCTGATCCTGGTTTGCACCTGACCTGTACTTGTGTAGTTCCGGAGACTTGTGCAGGTGATTCAAATCTCAGTGTAGTTCTCTCAGCCTTTGCTGTGCTGGTCTAAAGCTCTCCCATGTGCGTATCTCAGGAGTTGCACTGAGACTTCTGTGGCTTATATACAGAATTAGAGGATCCCTTTTTCTAGTTCTCGTCCCTTCAGAATTACCCCCATCCTTTTTGGCCTGCAGGGATTCCTTTTCCTGGTTTCTCTATAAAGATGGAGTTTCTTCTAGACATTGAGCATACTGCATTTCCTTACTACTCTGAGACTAGGCAAAGCCACAGGAGGAAAAAACAAAATTGGAAATCTACCCCCATATGAAAGGCCACATCTTCAAATTTTGACTGCTCTCCTTAATCCTTAGTGTTTCTTTTTGGTTTTGTTTTGTTTTTTGTATTTTCCCCAAATGTTCTTTGTTCGTTCTGATTGTTTTATAATAAGTAGGAGAGGGGGTTTGTAGTGGGTTTGCACTGCCTTGGCACATCCAAAATATACTTTAATATATGTGTCAACAAAGAGGTCAAAAAAATAACATCCCCTTACTTCATCTTCGGTGCAAGTAATTTGAGCTATGAATAGTTAATTTAATTTTATTTTTTTTAAATATATTTTATTGATTTTTTACAGAGAGGAAGGGAGAGGGATAGAGAGTTAGAAACATCGATGAGAGAGAAACATCGATCAACTGCCTCCTGCACACTCTCTCCTAGGGATGTGCCCGCAACCAAGGTACATGCCCTTGACCGGAATCGAACCTGGGACCCTTGAATCCTCAGGCTGATGCTCTATCCATTGAGCCAAACTGGTTACGGCATGAATAGTTAATTTTAAACATCTGGCAATTGAACAACAAAAATTGGGGTTTTCATGGAGTAGGACTTACAATGACTGGGAATCTGTAATGCAGGATTATGAATTTACAGGTACCAGGATCTCCCCTGCCAGAGGACTCGGAGGCTGACTTACCTTGGATGGAACACCAGCACTGAATGTCAGTTTGGTTCTGAATGGGGTAGGTCTGCTTTCCCATATTTAAAGCTGTGTAACCTTTTCTGGGAAATATTTTTGTATAGTTTTAAATACGATGTGAGAAAACAAGTGGGATAGACATCTAGAAAGATTTTATGTAAAATATTTGGTGGCATGTATTCCTCCTGTGCTTTTAGATGCTGCTCTAGCGCTTGAGATGACATCCTCCTGGAACAAAAGTGCTGATATCCTAGGAGGAGATAGACATGGTTTTGATCATTTACTTCTGAACTGCCTGCATTTTCTGAGAAATGTTTTGCAGAAGGAAAGACAATGACTTCCAGGTGTTTCAAAGGAAGATTGGGCAAGTGTCCTCCCCAACTGTCAGCCATCATCTTTGAAGTCCACTGATGCTACTTCAAGATAATCCAATGAAAGAATAGTGATATGGTTCTCGTTACATGAGTGTATATTTACTATTAGTGGGTTGTGTATTTAAAGGTACCCAAGATTAACAGTAAGTAAAAAAGGGGAGAAAGATTATAAAAGTTTATGTTACTTATGCATCAAGCTTTGTGTGTTACCTGCATTGATGTGTACATTTATTTAGGAATGTCTTTGTGAATGTGGGAGCTAAAAACTAGGATCAGTTGAAGAAAATGAAAAAACTAGGATCAGTAAAAAAAAAAAAATGTTTCCTTTACCCTAACCTAACTATGAAAACACATTTAAGAATCTTGCTTCTTTCTAGGCTTTAACAAGATATGTGACTGCTCTTTATGGGTAGATGTATTTCTTTGGTTCCTGTGCGTATAGTTGATGTTTGATCAGTGTATCATGGGAATCTGCCTCTCTGTTCATCTTCTAAGAACCACCCTAAATGCAAGTTTCACAAAGAAACCTTTTTATTTCTAACGATTTGGATAGTTCTTTGCACTGTATGATTCTGGGGCTAACGTTCCTGTGAGCAGGAATGTGATCGGGACACGAGTGAGAAAGGAGAATTCTGTAGGTCTACCTTGGAGTTGAATACTTCTCATTGACAAAAGAGGGATATCTACAAAACCAGGAAATGGGAAGCAGGGTTACCAATTGACTATGGTCACTCTTCTCTGGGCTGAATCCTGCTGAACTCCCCAGCCGAAGAGGCTTTGGGCAGGGGACGAACTTTGTTCTGGACTTTACTCCTATCCGCTGATAGTTTGAAGGTGATATTAAATAGAATATCTTTCTAAAATCCCAGAGATATTCCTGTCTTCTTATTTCCTCAAATACCTAGGCCTTCCCAAAAGCTTTTAACCAAGGTGCAAAATTGTTAACCCACAGGACACACATCTTTCCAAATGCACTGGTCCTCAACGTTTAGGTGGGAGAGTTAAACCAATTTGGCTCTCGTTTTTTCGTTTCTGGGTTTCTAGTCATGCTCTGCATTTACTGTTTTAGAGAATGATTGTTAAGGGGACCAGAATTTGTGTGGGGTTTTTTTGCCTTAACCAATTAATAGTATGTTGTTGTTTTTTCCAAAAGACATTGACTAGAACTTAGCCCAGGAATTTTACTAGCACTTTTCTCTATTACCTACCCTGTGGAGCTTAATATTAAAATTCTAATCATAGTTACTTGAGCCTCAAAAGAGTAGTATATTCAGGAGGCAAAATAAGGGGCTGCAATGTAAAAGTCTATGTAGGTGGCTCAATTAAACTTTGATCTTGATTTTGAAGCTCTATGTCTAATCTCTGACCAGGTGTTTGACTAGATGAGGTATGGCTAACATGCTGAACAAAGTTAGTGTATAGGCATTAATAGGCCTCAAATTAAAATATTATTATTTTTACTTTGAATTATGTTGTCAACAGCCACCACAGCATAAAAAGCAGACACTACTTAAAAGCCAAGTAGCTGTCCAGTTTATTTCAATGTTAATTTTATTAAAAGATTGGTATGAAAATATCACCTCTATGTCTGAAGGTCTAGGATTAGACCTTTTTCATTCTATATTTGCTCTTGGTATCTTTTATCGATTAAAACATTTTGTGCACTTTAGAACTAAAGAACTAAAAACTATTACTATAAGTCTAAGTTGAGACTTGAAGCTCATATCTGGTTAGAATCTTGGAAGTACTACTTGAAAAAGATTTTGCAAACTGGGGCTATAGACCCTGAACTAAAATAATCCCCCCCTTTTTTTTTTCAATTTAAGGTTACTTTTTCTTTCCTTACAAAGGATATGATTAAGTCACATACTAATAGGAAATATGTATATGTACTAGTGGGAAAATGGGCTTGCTGTGTGTATGTATATTTTACAATTAATAAATATTATATGTTATTGAGCTCCATAGTTTTTATTTGCATTATTTAATTAATAAACTATAAACAATGTATAGGACACTGTATGGTATTTAACAAATATGTTGGAAATAATCAGTTAATTCTTTTTGGGAAAAGTTAGGATATAAGGATGACAAGTTAATTTTCTTGTACAGCCAGTGATACAAGCCATCGGGTCATAAAGTAACATGTCTTGTAAAGACTACCTGGTAAAGGTGGTGACAGACCCAGGCTTAGAACCCGATTCTCCTGATTGAAAATCCCTTGCTGGGTTAGATTAGCTAACTTCCTATTGAAATGGAAGCCTAGAAGATATGTTGTCTTGTGTGACTCTCTCATTATTGGTTTCTTTATCTGAATTGTGCTAAAATAAAAGGCTGGATCTATAGGCAACTGTAAATCAGATTAGATTGAAAAATGTGACTGACTTATTTCCTGAGCCCTCCTCCATGTAACCGAGCCACTGGCAGAGGAGCCGAAATTTCGGGGTCACTGCTCCTAGAGCTTTAAGGCCGGTCCTAGTGTATTGGGCCAAGTGGGTTTTTCTCTATTGCTTTGTATTGTGTTTCTACATTAGAAATGGGCCCCTAACACTATGTGAGTGAAAAATTATGTTCTCACATTGCTTTTTAAATGGTTTTATTTTTTCTTTTGATAGCTTTAGACATGAACTAATTTAAAAACGTAATGAACCTACAGTTTATCTGTTTCTTTAAAAAATATTTTTATTGATTTCAGAGAGGAAGGGATAAGGTGAAAGAGATAGAAACATCAATGATGAGAGAGTATCATTGATTGGCTGCCTCCTGCAGGCCTCCCACTGGAATTGAGCCTGCAACCTGGGCATGTGCCCTGACTGGGAATGGAACTGTGACCTCCTGGTTCATAGGTCGACACTCAACCATTGAGCCACACCAGCTGGACTGTTTTTTAACATGTCCTTCTGCTAAGTACTTGGCCCAAATCTTGACATCACTCGTTATCACTTGTATGTAATTTGTGTGACTTGTGATTTAGACCTTTGTGTTTATAGATGTTTGGGGATATCTGACATTGAATGTATTATACATTTGAGACATTTTCTTCACAAAACAAAAATCCATCCATAAAATGTTATGGTCTTTTGCTCTCTGAAATCCGCTCCCTTCCCCAGGCAGGTAGAGCCTTATTTAATCCTTCTTGTTCTGCTTTGTCATGCAGGGGCATCTCCAGTGGAAGTGAGGAAGGTTCTAACAAAACTTTGGAAAGTGTATTGTTGTCTAACATGAATGAAAACAAGAACCAGGAAAATGAAATAAAAATATCTCAGTGCAGCCTGTTTTCCTATCCATAGATTAGGGTAGGATTGCCTATCATTCAAGGGAGCAGGTTTTTATGCAGCTTATCTTCATTCATCTATCTCCTTCATTCATCTATCTGGAAAGTGATCTCTATTAATATTGCTGCTAGAATTAAAAACCATCTCTCTGCCCCATGGCAACAGTGTTTCACTTGGTTACTGCCCTGTTTTTAGCCTTCTTCCTTGGATTATCACTCCTTTTCTGATATGAATACCTCCTTGTCTGTCTCCCACTAGACATATTTTTAAGTACAAACATCTGTTTATGAAGTTGCTCCTAGGCTCCTGCAGAAGAGTCAGGGCCAGATTTTGAAGGCACATGTGCAAGAACAATACTCAGTGTCACTGCCCACTACATTTTCTGTGTTTCTGAAGATTGAGAACCACACTTTATTTATCTCTGTTCCATACCATCTAGCAAAGCAATTCCTGTGGGACAATAGTAATAATATTCCTACGAAGGTAGGAATGTTAGTCATATTTTACAGGCAAGGTAATAGACTTACAAAGTTTAAGGAATTTATTCAGTGTCAGTTGCTCAATAAATGATAGAGCCATGCATGTTTGTTGAATCATGCATGGTCATGATTTTTAGATCTGGAATCAATTAAAACATTTTTTGTTTAGATAATATAAACTTTGAGAGCTTAGACTCCTGGAGCTATACACGTCCTCATTCTCTTAAAAGAGGAAGAAATGCATTCCTCCAGCCACTAAATAAAACTTCACTCTGATTAAGCCAGATTTGGATACTGCTCACCTTGAATCAAGCACCGTAGCCTGGGGAATGGCATGTTCTGATTAGCGTGGGCCTTTGTTAAATTCCTTTGTCTGAATTAATGGGCGCTAAAGGACATGGGGTTATGCTGATTGGTTCAGGCCAATCACAGCCTCCCCATGGAACACCAGGCTTCCTCAAAGCCCAGGGGGAAGAGAATGGATGCTGGCGAAACCATCGCAATGCTCACCAGAGGTGGACAGTTCAAAGCTGCAAAAGGTATGTTTCATTTTAGATTTTGACTGATTCTTCTGAATTGTCCCCCAAAAGTGCTATATCAATTTACATTACCATCAACAGTGTATGCGAAAGTCTGTTTCCTATATTGGAACTATTTTAGATATTAATTTTATTTTCACCAATTTGATGGGTGAAAATTATTTTGCTTTAGTTTACATTTTCTTGATTACTACTTGTTATATATACTTTCATATATTTTTCTTATTACTGATTTATAGGCCATTTGAGTTCCTTCTTCTGTGAAGAAAGATATTAAATGTCATTTCAGAAGCAGATTTTAGCTTGACTATTGGAGATATTCCTCTGTAGATGTGTCTCTTACCTCCTGAAAACAAAGGCAAACACCAGATTCAGATAATACAGTTTGGCTCAAACTATATTGTGGGATAAAAAAAATTATTTTGTACTGGGAAATGCAACCTAGTCAGAGGAATGTAGTTTTAATTACACTTTTCTTTTTATTTCATCTTAAGTAAGGCGGTCAGGTCCCCTTTCTTCTGTTGGATCCTGGAAGGAAAGAAGTTAGTGAGAGACAAGTGCTTCTCCCTTCTCTGGTAGAGGGATGAAGAAGTCAGTTCTGCTGGAATGGACAGAAACCATTTAAGGAGAGTTCTGAAACACCTGAACTTGGGGTGGCTGCAATTGGCGTTCCTTCCATTTCCCTGGGATGACACCCTACTCCTTTGGCTCTGCCCAGGACAGCCCAGTGCTGCCAAGCCATGCTCCAGGAGGCGGCAGTAAAGCCCCACTCACTGTAACCCTTATCCTTCCCCAGGGGAAAAATGATAAAAACCTGTGATGTATTTGACCTGAGGGGTATTTTCTGTTCCTTTTATCCATGCAATAAATAGCCTTCTTTTTCCATGTTTAAGGGCCCAATATTAAGGAGTGCTTAATCTATTTGAACTGCAGAGGTATAATTGACATATCACATTATGTAAGTTAAAGGTGTACAATGTGTTGATTTGGTATATTAATGAATTGCAAAATGATTATCATGATAGCATTAGCTAACACTTCCATCCTGAATTTAAGATCTACCCTCTCAGCAACTTTCAAGTATATAACATAGTAATATTATCATAATCATCATGCTGTGTGTTAGATCCCCAGAACTTGTTAATCTTATAACTGGAAATTGGTACCCTTTGACCAATATCTCCTTATTTTCCCCTATCCTCCAGCCCTTGGTAACCACCACATGCTTCTCTGAGTTTGAATTTTTATATTTATTTATTTTAAATATATTTTTATTAATTTCAGAGAGGAAGGAAGAGGGAAAGAAAGATAGAAACATCAATGATGAGAGAGAATCATTGATTGGCTGCCTCCTGCACGTGCCCTACTGGGGATAGAGCATGCAATCCGGGCATGTGCCCTTGACTGGTATCGAACCTGGGACCGTTCAGTCTGCAAGCCAATGCTCTATCCATTGAGCTAAACCAGCTGGGGCTGAATTTGAATTTTTAGATTCCACATATAAGTGAATCATATAGCACTTGTCTTTCTCTCACTTAGCAGTCATATATTGCTTAATGAAACCTTGGTAACTACCAGTCAATAGAATATTCGAATGCTTGTTTGATAAATGAAATCTACAATTGTAAGGAACATATACATACTGATTTCCTTTACTCTGCAGCATTTAAAATATTCCAACTGACATTTCACTTATATACAGTAAAACACATAAATCTTAAGTATATGGCTTGATGAATTTTTATAAATGTACACACCCATGTAAAAACCACCCAGATTAAGATATGGAATATTTATTTCTAGCTCTCAACAGGCTTCCTTTTGCCCTTTCCCAGCCAATTACCTACCAAAACTTATCACTATTCTGACCTTGATCACCAGGGATTAGTTTTGTGTGCTCTTGAATGTCATATAAATGGAATCTTGTTCAATGCAGTCTTTTGAGCCTGGCTTCTTTCACTCAACATGAAATTGTGAGATTCATTTATGCTGCTGTGTGAAGCAGCAATCCCTTCATTTTCATGGCTGTGTAGTATTCCAGTATCTGATACAATAACAATTTACTTATCCATTCTGTTGTTGATGGACATTTGTGTTGTTTCCAGTTTAGAGGTATTTTGTGATGGTTCAGTGGGTTTCCTTGGTGATGACTTGAGTAGTTGCCTAGATATATAGAACTGATTGCCCCAAATAAGTTGTTTCAGTTGTGTCTACTCTTTTGTACCTCTCAGCCTTGATTTGTTTATCTCTCTATCATTTATAACAAGCTTAGAGAGTCTTATAGGAACCTGTTATCTACTTACATTTTATTATAAAAATAAGAAAAATGTGCTCTAGGCTTAAAAAAGGAAAGTGGCAGTTTATTTTTTTAAAACTATTAAAAGTACCTGAACATTCTGAGCACAGTTTTCTTTAAAATTAGAGCCAGCTTTTTCTAGATTATGCAGCTTGTCTGGGAGTTTGAACTTCCTACTATGGAATTGGACATCTGCCATTATGGGCTGAATTTATTTTCTCCAAATTCATGTGCCAACACCTTGATCTTGGGCTTTCAGCTTCCAGAACTGAGAATAAAATTCTATGTATAAGACCCCCCCCTCCAGTCTATGGCATTTTATTATAGTAGACGTAACTAACTAGCAAACTAAGATACCTCCTCAAA